GAAAAATATACAGATTAATACACGAGAATATTAAGTATGAGAGAGGTGGAGGTAAATTACAAGTGTTTAAACGAGATGGCATATTACACCGAACATTGAGTATAAGATATGTGGGGAAAATTCACTAGAGTGCTGGAGGGGGGTTGTGGAAAAATAGGCACCTTATATCATATATGGTGGGAGTGCCCAAAAATTCAAGGTTTCTGGGAGATGATCGTTCAATTAATTGAGAATATCTCCGGGATAAAGATAGGACTGAACCCAGCAGTATGTCTCCTACATAGTACAGAGTTATCAGTAAATAACTACAAGGATTCGGGTATATGGTGCTATCTAAATGCGGCGAAGGGGTTGATACCTAAGTTTTGGCATAGACCAGAGGTGCCGAAGATAGAGGATTGGGTGGAAAGAACTAATCAAATTTATAAGATGGAGAGAGACTGTGCTAAATGCAGGAAGACAGGATGGGGCTGTTCTATAAGAGGTGGAGAACATGGGAAGAATTCATGGTGAAATATATGAAGTAACTATGTGAGAAAGATAGAAGGATTCGTACCCTATATTCGCGTATGAAGAGGGATAATAGAATTATGCAGAGTGGGTGGGTTTATTTTGGGGGAGGGAGGTTTTTTTTTTTTTTTTGTGGGGGGAAATTAGATAGTGGGGGGGTGGTATTTGGGAATAAAGATAGATAGAAATGTTATTAAAGATATGCAAATTTGTTTGTATGAGAACAATGATGAAATGTGCAATATATATGGAAAATAAATAAAAAATTTAAATTAAAAAAAAAACATGCACTCTCTCAAGAAAAAAAAAAACCTCTCTAGCAATACATACTAAACTTAGCATGTACATAAGGGCTACGGGTTAAGTCTGTCTTATCAGCGTGGACATTTGATCAAGAGGAGGGGCAGAGAAGACAGGATCAAATTGCATTTGTACACAATGCAAAGGATTAACCCCTTGGGTTCCACAGTGAGTATAACAAGCATGCTTTACTGCACAAACAGACTGATTTTACTGTTGTAGGTTTAGTAACACTTTAAATGCAGTGAGTGCATCACTGAATCATGATTGTCTCTTATAGATCATGTGTGACATATATAATATGGGGTGGTTTTATGTGATCAAACAGGGAAGATCTCATCCAAATAGTAGTACTGAATAGGCCACTGCTGGCACAAAGTCATCAATTGTCTGCATGACAAAGAGATCCTTGCTGCTGACTGGAAGGTCCTCGGCAGGGGAAAACTGACAACTCATGGGGCCCCCGGGCAATAGGGCATCATGGGGCCCCTGTGTCCTTGCCCACACTCAAAAAGGCCTATAAAAAAGGTACCAGGGGCATTTTGTGGGGCCCCCTACTGACCCTGGGCCCTCGGGCAGTGCCCTAGTGCTCAAATGGTCAGTCCGCCCCTGGTCCTAGGTGCTATCTTGGTTTAGTGAGTGTGTGATGGAGGTGTGGAAAAGACGCAATACTCAACACCATATACTTTCTAACAAGTTTTGTCATGGCTTCCTTAGAGGAGTGTGTCTATATTGTGATCACGTTTCAATAGTGTTTAAATTATTATATTAGCAAGTATTACCTAATAATTATTAGCTATACTAGAAAAATATGGCCAAAATGTTTAGCTATAATGTTCAAACAGAAGAAAGGTTGAACATATAAGGGAAACAGGTGAGGGGTCTGTGAGGCAGGGCAAGGGCTTTAGTCTACATCTAGACCCAGTAAATAAGTTTTAACATGTACATCAGATTTGGAAGGAATGTATCAGTCTGTGGGACCTGTTTATCAATTCATGCTAGATCAGTCCAGAGAGGATAAATTGTGTGAAGATTCACTTCAATAGTCTAAGGAGAAGATTAAATAGGTAAAACAGTAGTTTGCTTTTCACGTGATTGGATAATATCCATTAGTAAATTAGCCTTTATCTGGCTGGCCATAGATGGAGCAAATTTATTTCCTGCAACCAGGAATTTATTTCCTGGGTTACAGGAAAGAAATGGGCTTGATTCCCCCATCAATACAGGCAGTTGTGACATGGGAATCCCTCCAGCGGAGCTATTGTGTTCTCCCAGTGGGGGAAGTGGCGGGAGCCATCCCCACTGGGAGAACACAGTGATCATTGCTAGTGGCTATAACAGTCGCTAACAATAATCGCATATAAAATCCTTCAGGTTGGTTGTACCCAAGTTGATAGAGAAATCAACTTGGGTACATTCAGCCTGCCCATACATGGTTCAGCAGGAACCAGATGAGATTCAAGCCTCTATGGCCGGCTTAATACTCTGATAATTGGTATCTGTTGTTTGAAGCAATTCTGTGATTTTATCAATAAGGAGTGAGCAATCAAATACATTGCCGCTGTGATGCCAAAACATCCACGTGATAAAAACACTTCTAGATTTTTTTCCAGAAGGCCACAGCTGTTCTGGTGATACGGCTCTTGCTTTTCTTGTTGGTGGCATTCAAGATTATTCCTCATAGTGGACTGACTCTTCCCACCATTAGAAAATATTAGTATTGGACTCTTTTATTGATTCATTTTTATAAGTGGCATTGGATTTTAGCCAATAAAAATAATATAAAACTCTAATAGCATTGTAAAATGTTACATATTTAAAAAACCACATTAGACACTAATGTATTGCCCTTGCCTCCTGTCGTTTTCAGCACACCCACATTGAAGGTCTTTTTTTTTTTAAAGGGAGGAGCAGAACAAGACATTCAAATGAGAATCAGTAAGCTTCACTTCACTGATACTGACCTGGCTGCCATCTGCATCTGCAACATCTGCATCTGCACTAAGTAAGTAAATTGTATATTTTAAAATATGTCATTAATATTGCCATATGAACAGTCATTCTACAGTGTTATAAAAATGTATATGGTTTAGCTTGATTATTTTATTTGATGTTAATGTCATTTATATTCCCATTATTTGCTAAAACTTGTAATTTTTTGTTTATTGGTAATATATGTTGTTCTTCAAACATAGTAGCAGTGTATGTTTAAATATGTATAAATGTATGTATAATGTATATTTCAATTTGTTAATGTTTAAATAATTCATATAGTTTATATAATCCATATTCAAACAATGAGTCAATTGCCAGCGTTTAATTGACTTTAATTGTTGACACTATATCATGGTTATCCCACACCCTGTCTAAAAATGCATTTGAAGTAACTGAAGCTTGAAACACATTGGCTGCAGCAGTTTTTTTCTAAGCAAACATTTCATGTCACAAGGGAGAGAGTTTCAGCAGAGATTTTAAAATGAAATACAATACCTAAACCAGGGAAAGATCTCCAAAAAGTAAAAAAACTATAAACTCATATCTCTTATTAATACAGACATCAAATTAGTTTCCAAACTAATAGCTCACAGACTACTACCAATCTTACCCTCACTAATACATCCCGACCTAGTAGGCTTCATACCAGGTTGACAAGCTCCAGATGCCACTAGATGATTAATATCTCTACTACACAATATAAAAGACCGCCAAATGCCTTCTCTGCTCTCTCTCGCTTGATGCAGAGAAGGTATTCGACTGTGTCCACTGGTCATTTATGCAAAAAGGTTTTTTTAAAAAATTTGGTATCACAAGATTGATACAATCAGCAATTACCTCCCTATACTCCTCCTCATCAGCCAGAGTCCTAACCGATGGTATGCTCTCCCAACCCTTCGAAATCATTAATGGAACTAGACAGGGATGCCCACTATCCCCTCTAATATTTGCACTACTAGTCGAACCACTTGCTGCAAAAATAAGACAGGACCATCTTATAGCAGGAATAAAACTCTATGACTCAGAACACAAAATAAGCTTGTTTGCTGATGATATCATTCTAATAATTACAAACCCAGCCAAATCGCTATACAGAATAAAAGAACTCCTAACTCAATATGCCAGTGTCTCCTACTACAAATTCAATAATCCTAAATCTATACACACCAAAAAAAATCCAATTGCTCCTCTCAAAACACTTTCCGTACATGTGGGCTAATCACTCTATCCCATACCTTGGAATTAACCTAACCTCTTCCCCCCTCTCAACTTCACAACCATAACCACAAACCATTCCTTCAAAATCCTCCCCAAAGATATAGCCTCACTCCAAACATTTGGTCTATCCAAATTACTGCATTACTGCCCTGAAAATTATTATCCTCCCCAAAATCTTATATATCTTCAGAACCCTTCCCATCCCCATACCAATGTACTTTTTTCATACAGCACAAAAGTACTTTTCCCAATTCCTATGGGTATACAAGCGACCCAGATGTTCTAACAATCTATTAATCCACCCTTACCACAAAGAAAGAACGAGTCTTCCCCACTTACATACATATTACCTAGCCATACTACTTGATCAAATTTACTACTGGTGGAGAAGGAGGTTAAAGCAGCATTGGAAGGAGGGAGAGATCCCAACAGGAATACTGGCATATAAGGAGAGTGATTACCGAGAAGATCTGGAGGGATATCCATTCATTATCTATTAGATGATACCACAAGTGTTCCCATTGAGAACAAAAAGCGTAGTAAGCCTATCTACTAGGCTTACACGGAGGTGAGCGCATAATACAATCTTATTAAGGAGTCACAAAAATTCACCATTTATATTTTGGAGCTCAGTATCAGTTTAAATTTTGGGACTATTATTATGCATTTAATCACAGAGACTTTTTGTATTATTTATATTAGATTTATTAGCACTTTATGAGTATTTTCACAATTTCAGTTGCAGTATACAACACATAAGATTTTTGTTTGTCATGCTGATTGAATTTAGATGCATTGAATCATGAATATTTAAAATGTGATATTTAGCACAATTAGTTTAATATGAGATTATAGTTTGATTATTAACACACAGGAGATATTATCACCATTTTATTTTCTTTGGAGCGTGGCATTTTTTGAATGATTCACATTAAATATGTAATTGGTATTATTTAAATTAGAGTGTATGTTGGTACACAGTATTGTATAAATTAACACAGATTTGGGAGCGCGACATTTATTGGTTTTTACTGATGATCAGTGTGCCCTGATGATCAGTGTAGCCCCAGCAGTGCCACCTGTCAGTGTCCATCAATGCCACCTGTCATTGCTCATCAATGCCACCTGCCAGTGCCCATCTGTGCTACATCAATGCCACATATCAGTGCCTACCAGTGCACATCAATGCCACATATCAGTGCCCATCTGAGCTGCCTTTCAGTGTCACCCATCAGTGCCAGTCAGTGCCACCTATCAGTGCTGCCAATCAGTGCCACCTATCAGTGCCAGTCAGTGCCACCTATCAGTGCCAGTCAGTGCCGCCTATCAGTGTGCATTAGTGCCGCCTATCAGTGCCCGTCAGTGTTGCCTATCAGTGCCGCCCAACAGTGCCAGTCAGCGCCATCTATCAGTGCCAGTCAGTGCCGCCTATCAGTGCCAGTCAGTGCCGCCTATCAGTGCCACCTATCAGTGCCATATATGTGTGCTGCCTTTCAGTGCCCATAAGAGATGCCTGTCAATGCCCATCAGTGCCACCTACCAGTGCCACCTATCAGTGTCCATCAGTGCAGCCTATCAGTGCCCATCACTGCAGCCTCATTAGAAGGAGGAGAAAAATCACTTATTTACAAAAGTTTATGACAAAAACTAAGAAAAAACTTTTTTTTTTCAAAATTTTCAGTGGTTTTTGGTTGTTTAAAAAAATATAAAAAAACCCAGAGGTGATTAAATACCACCAAAATAAAGCTCTAGCTGTCTAAAAAAAATGATAAAAATTTCATATGGGTACAGTGTTGCATGACCACGCAATTGTCATTCAAAGTGTGACAGCGCTGAAAGCTGGAAATTGGCCCCTTCCTCTGGGGGATGTACGAGTCCCTGTAGCGTAAAGCATAGGGGAGGGCAGTGATGTCACCACGCATCCGCAGTCGGACACGGCGAGTATTGACAGTGTGCGCAGGCACACCAACAAGGCTGTCCTCACCGCTATCCGCGGCTGTGTATATATATATATATATATATACGCAAAGCGCATTATATTTTATCTACATGTAAGTGCAATATTGGCGCACATTAAAGTTTCTTACCCAGGATAAGACACTATGTATCTTTTCTTCTTTTACTTATGATCCATGGGAGGAGAGTTGGATTAAGGAGAGTGCTGGGGAAGGAGAGATTTCGTCTATCACAGTGATTCACAGTGCAGCTCTTGTTGTTAAACCATTACAGCCACACAGCACAGGCTACTACAAAGGAGAGTATACTGCATTCATCTTTCTGTTGAACTTACATGGAAATTGTCATCATCTCAGTGAATATGGGACTATTCATTTATATTTTATTCTCAACTTAGTATTATTATCATTTTTATTCACAAGGACTCTGTCTTATGCAAATATTGGCACAAGGTGCATGAATAGTTAATCACGGTGTTAATTGAGAATATATATTGATTCTTTACTTTTATTTTTTTCTTAAAACAATGAATAGAGCGCGGCATCCAATCTTTTTAGCTATTTTTCTAACGCACATCACGTGAGAGTGAGCAAGGAAGCCTGCGACACTTTGTTTATATACACACAGATATTTGCATTCCTTAGTGGCTCACAAGTACATTTTACACAAGATATATAATAAGGGAGTTACATAGTCCGCATGCTGGCGGTGAAGAATCCCTATATTGTATTGACAGGGCCCTGCCATTTCAACTACAGATGACGGATGTCATATGGAGATATTACCACGGCCACTAAGTCTATTTCACAGTATTATCTTGTACACGACTGTCTCTATATCAGATTTTTACAACTCATGTTGCCCATTAGTGCCATTTTTGAACCATCACCAATTTCTTCTGTGTGTTTTTACACAGTATAGCCTTGGCTTTGGCGCTTACATAAGCAGATTTACTTTGTATTGCATATGTCTCTCATTGATTCCTGCCCTGAATTGGATGTTTTATACTAAGTATCGGGTTCCTGAACCCATCTTTAACTGATACCACTATATATAGTACTGCATGTTTGATGTATAGCCTACTATGGTACAATTTTTTGAATACATCCCCTACATGGTGGTGTTACCTGTGTGTCTGTGCTGCTCATGTACTAGACCAAGTGTCATTACATTTACAGCACCACTTACATATTCATGATCGGTCATGACGTCTTGTTTTTAACAATTTTGGTTTTAGGTCATACTTTTTTGTATTGTCTCATCTTGTGGTGATGGCTAACTGAGGTATTTACCTAAATGTCTATACATGCATTGTTCGCAATAAAGCATAATTTTAGAGAAATTTTTGCGTATCACTTTCTGTTCATAATGTAACCACTTTTCTTGTGATTCCCTTTTCGCATCCCCCCCCCCTTTTTGATGTCTGTTTTTTTGTTACTTGGCAGATAATATACATTCAGCGATACGTCAAATTTGTAGTGCCTCTTGCTTTTTTGTTATTGGTTCTAGGTTGTAAATAGTACCCTTGCTTAGTCACAAAAAACATTTGACAAATCCTTATTAAAAAATAAAAATCCTCAAAAAAAGTGCCCCTTTGTAAATCACATCCAGTCCTCAATTGCTTCATCCAGCGATGCAGATCCATGTCAATCACAATGCCCGATGACTGACAACGTGCAGAAAGGAAAAAAATTGCACTGCAGTTATATGTCCTGCTTGTCACCTGGCAAATGGAAAGCCTAGTGACTGACAGCTGTTACATACAAGGAGACGGGGGTCTTCTGGTGATGTCACTGACCATATATGGACATGACGATATATGATGAATAACATTACTAAGATCCCTCCCCCTTTCTTACATGCCTGGGGATTCCTGGCCATGTAAGTGATTGAGGCTGGAGGCAGCACTGGTTGTTAAAAAAACAGTGGTGCCTCCACCAGTCAACATCCTTAGCAACCATTCACAGCAGGAAGCTGTCATGTATAATAGCAGTAGTAATACCACTATTATACATGACATTTGTCTCCTGCCGAATTAGTAAACGTTTGGGTGTGCGTCCGGATGCTCAAACAGCCAAAGTGTGGTTCTAACTTGTGTTTGGACTGAATTTTGAGCTCATCCTTAGTGATTAAATATGGGTGATCCTAAAATATTGGTAACAAAAAATATTGTATGATTATGACCTTGATATAGCACAAAAACTACATATGTGCATAGTTTTTAAGGTTATAAAAAAGACACCAGTCCATCCAGTTCAGCCTGTGTGGGTGTATGTGTGGGTGTATGTATGTACTTATGTCTCTACCATTTCCCATAGCTCTGTATATTTAACTTGAATGGCTCACCTTTTTGAGTACAATGGTAGATTTATACAAGTACATAGGAGGGAGTAGATGGAGACATTCAGCTCTTCAGACCCCATTCACATCTCTGCATAACTTTTCCACACGCATTTTTTTCTCTTTTTTTGGGGGCGTTTTGGAGCATTTTTTCTTTTCTGCAAAACAGGTACATTCATTGTATATTGGAACATAGGGATGAAAAGTGAACTTAGCCTTCAAGCTACCCATCTAAAAGTTATCTTGAAGGATAAGTATGGACACTCCCCGTTGACACCACTGATTGTCGAAGGGAGTTGCACAACCTTACCGCTCTAACAGTAAAGAGCACCTTACATGGTTTAAGAATAAACTGCTGCTCATCCAACTTCACTAAGAGACCATTTGTCTTCTTAAGTGACCTGAGACTGAATAGTTTTCTCCCTATGCTAGAATCACTATTTAGATATTTGTATATTGATGTCATATCCCCACTTAAACGCCTCTTCTCCAAGGGGAATAAGTTTAATGTTTGTAGTCATTCCTCATAACTGAGGTCCTCCAGTACCCTTATCAGTTTTGTTGCCTTTCTGTCAGGAATGGACTCAGCACTGGTGGTGGGACTCACCTGCCATGTGGGCTGCAGTACCAGGGCTGACCAGCGGGTGCTCTCAGCAGCCAGAAGCTCACTTCTGCAGTCAGCCAACACCTGGGGCTGATTACAGCAGGTGTATTTAAGGAATGACCAGGCCTGTGATCTGTGCCTTGGTGTAAATGGTTCCCATGAGCCCTTGTATCCTGTATCTTGTTCCTGGTCCTGTAAGTACGTTTCCTTGTTGCCAAACGCTGCCTGTTCTGTTTTATGCTGACCCTCTCCTGCTCTGACCCTGGCTCGCTCCTGACCATCCTTCTGCCTGATCCTCGGTACCGCGCTGCCCGCTACCTGCTGAACCTGGCTTGTGACCCCGACCATTCTCCGCTTGCTCCTCCTGTACCACGCTGCCCGCACGATACCGACCCGGCTAGTCTGACCTCGCTCACTCCTAGCAGTCATCCATCCATCCTGCTCGGATCGGGACCTGTCATCCCCTTCACAGCAGGCTCATCCTGGGCATACACCCTCAGCGGGACCCCTCTACCACCGCCAGGGGTGCCCAGGGGCGCGACCTGGTTCCAGTCTTGCACCAAGTCCATCCCCACCATCAGGGGCTCTGGTGAAAAGGCAGACTGGGACTTAGACTCCGTGTCCTGGGAAACCCCGTGCTGTGGACCACTAGAGATCCCGTTGGGTGGAGCCTGACAGTACCTTGTGGCCTGCCTGACCATTCCACCTCTCCAGCCCTGACTACGCCTGTGTTCTTTTATGTCCCCATGTGCATTACTTTACATTTATCCATATTAAACTTCATTTGTCATGTTGTTACTGATCACCTTAATTTATCGAGGTTTTCTTGTAGAGTTTCTATGTCCTGTTGTGAACTTGTCTTCCTGCTTAGTTTTGTATCATCAGCAAACACTGAGATTGAACTTTCTATCCCAACCTCTATATCATTTTTATACAAGTTAAACGCAATCAAAACCCGGACAGAGCCCGGGGCAACTTGCCCACAACTCCAGACCATCCCTGAAGATATGCTAGTTATCACCACCCTTTGGACACGCTCCTGTGTTTTAATTCCAAATACATATGATGTGTGATGATTTAATTCCCAGAATGCCTGTGGAGTAGCACTATGGTGGTGAGTCACACAGCCATTCGCACTTAAGCATGTTCTGATACAGTCTAATTTGCACTCGCCAGGTTAGCAGACCAGTTGACTCAGTCTTTACAGAGTAATAGAAAAAATACCACATGTGTGCATTGCACTTTTGACCGAAAATGAGTGACAGGAATCTGGAGTAATGGACCAACCTGAAATTATGTGTGAAAACTGGCAAAAGTGCAGGAAGATGTCCATGATGATGCAAGAAATGGGCAGCCCATAAAGAGAGTAAAACAGAGATCAAACCCTTGTACAATCAGATCGAAGACTGAGTGTGCAAATGATGAAAGATTGAACATGAACAGGAAAACAGTGTGGCAAATTCTAATGGAGGATTAGGGAAAGAGAAAGATTTCTGTAAAGATGGTGCCTCGAATCTTGACAGAAGATCAGAAAGAATGTTGTCTTCAAATTTCATACAATCTTTTGAAGAATGCAGAGATGTTTGCTATTTTTGTATACAGTCCATTCCAGGAATTAAATTGTTGCACCTTGTACACTATTGTCAATGCCAACAGGCCTCAATTTGTAAATTAAGCATTTATATTGTATTGTATCAAATCCTTTGACAAAGTCTAGATACACCACACCCACTGGACTTCC